GCTCGGGCGTCTTGTTCCGCACTTCGTCTTGGGTGAGGCCCTCCCACCTGAGTAAATATCTGTATTCAAGCAGGCCAACAGCCAAGGATAGTTCCAGCTGCTTGCTAAGTTTGACACTCATACAAATCAATTTCTCGCAGCTCTTGCAAAGTGCAGCTATTGGACTTGTCCAGGCTACTGCCTGCGAGTGAGAGCACGGCGAATGGATGAGGTGCATAGCAAAAAAAATCTTCACCACTTGAAGGACTGACTCTCGCCTGCAAACTGTTTTGCAAGCTCTAGGGTCTGCTGTGCACGTAGAAGTGGCGAAACAAACACTGTTCCAATGGCGCGCCCCTTCAGCCACTTTCCCAACTCTTTGGCTTGTTCTTGGCCCTTCGCGGTGAGCACGGGCTCCTCGTTCATGCTGCCTCCGGAAAGGGTGGGAAATGGAGGGTCATCTTTGGGGGCGTCATTTGCTGATGGCCTTGAAAGCGCTTTTCGGCATTGAATGTTGTTTGCCCATGGCGGGCTAAAAGGAAATGCTGCTCACCCGGCGACGGCAAGCCTGGCTTGGTGTTGCGATGTTGGGTGATGAAAGGACATGTGACATGATGCCAATTCAATCTGGGTGATTGTCCTGTGAAGGGTACGTTTTCATATGTTTTCATATGTTACCAAATAACTTTTGCCAGCCCAGGCGCTAAATGGCAACGCACCCAGGCACAGCCAGGCCAACGAAAGGCTCGCTTGCCAGACGCGACGAGTTCTTGGAGCATGCGCCATGGAATCTAAGAAACGGCTGGCTGCTTCTCTGAGTTCTCAAATATGATCATTTGTTCTTTCCCGAGGGCCGGATCACAATGGTCTAGTGGACGCATAGGTAAAGGGTAAACAGGTGGTGCGAAAATACCCCACCGTTAAGGGGAAGAGGCGGGACCGGGCGTGGACCGTGAGTCAACACAAGGACAACACGAGAGAATCTGAAGCCAAACGCTGGCAAAGTCAGGGTTGGCTCGCCACTCACCAGCTCCTTTTGACGTCCTTCCTAAAAAAAAAAAGGAAAACTCACAAACAATGCAAGACGGCAAAACCCGTCGATTTGCACCTCTGGACTGAGATAGCATGGTGTGCCCACCATAGTAGTGACCAGCTCCATTGCATGTGTCAGCGGTCTGCTCACGCCAAAGTCCCCGATGGCCACAGACTCCTGTCAGTTTTTAGCACTACTAGTAACAAGAGGACGCTACCAGGAACAAGAATCTGCTAGGGGCTCCTGGCCTTACTACTAGGAGCGTTCGGACGCTACGAACGGGGCTCCTGGCATCGCTACGAACGGAGCAAGAAGCTAGTAACAAGAAGCGCTCAGTCGGTCAGCTCGCTTTGTTTCGGATCCGTCCTCCTCGCTGATGCAATGTGCACTTCCACTGCTGCGGCCAGTGAGGAAAATATTGGATGGCTTCAAATCTCGGTGTAAAACCTGAGCGCCGGCAGCATGGTGAACGCTCTTGAAGTCAACGTTCTGCGTTCTGAGAACTCAGAAATTGTTTACAAGCAAGCGCCATATGTGAACCCATGTCGCGTTAAGTGGTACTACATGCATGCGGTCGAAGTCGACCCATGCGTTTTAAGTCAACTTTGATTTGCAAAACACCATGGGCACACTACTGGGGGCACGTCGTTTCCAATTGATTGAAAACTCGCAAGTCGCCCGCATGCTGCACGCACGTGGTCAAAAATCAATGATTGGACTCACTTTGCACTACAAGTACCTTCCTGAGGCAAATTTCAGTGGGCACGTTATGATGGCAGCAGCGGCAGTATCTGAATGGGCTATGCCTTGAAAGTATTTCTTGGCATGCTGAACTCTCAAATACGCCATTGCCGAAGTGTCCTGGCTGCACCCATGATTGACATGTCTACCGAAAGCTTGCTGTAACCTGATCACACAACCTGGAGCCTCCCAGCGCCACTGGCTACTGCTCTTATCACCAACACTGCGTGCTTACCACCAAGACGATCTCACAAAAATGCTTCAGCCCACAAAATCAGGGGTGCTAGCCTTATCTAAAAGGCTCTTAGGTCTTTTGAGGATGTGACCAAGTGCCCAAAACGCCTGCGCACATCCCCCCAAAAAATTGATCCTTTCAAGAATGACATCAAAGAAAATCATCATCTATCACCCATGGGCACACATCGATCCTAGACGTGTCTCGTTCATGCTTTCTCATATAGCAGGAACCCGAGCGGTGTGTTGTTCAATTCCGGTCCACAATCATACGCTGAAAAACATGACTGCAACTGAACCCTCTGAATCCATCACTCGTGATGTGTGGCTCAGCTCTCTTCGCTCTGTCCAGATTTCATGGCTTGGGAGCATGGTGCTGATGCACATAGGCCAGCGCGCTGCAGAGCTCGTCAAACCAACGAAGTGCAGGTGGCTCTTGTAGCCTCCGACACTCCTCCAAAGGAATGCACAAGGCAGGACATGCCATCCTCTGTCTTCTCCAGTCTATACATCAACGTGAAATATGACATTGTGTATGTGTTACATACACACAGTCATACAATAGGCATAGAGATAAAGAACCTGTAGAACCATGTACTATAGAACTCATAGAAACTTATATAACCGACATATACCGACATAGTTATGACATATAACGTATGATCCAATGTCGATGTCTTTGGCTATACTCAGCCTGTCGCACTTTCTGCAGCCGATGCTGAAGATCACCACCTACGCGGGAACTGACATCAGCGCTTTAGCGCACGTTTTGCAATGTTGCCAATGCCAAGTTCGGACAACCGCAGAAGGACCGCTTCTCCCGCCCCTAGACTGCCCAAGGCGCTTCTGTCCAATGCCAACAACTTCTGTTTGCAGCCCATCATCACCGGAGTTTACCATTCTTAACCCTCCAAAAACCTCCCACTGAAAAACACCAGACTTTACTCCAGCCCTCCCCTCGTCAAACCTCCCACCTTCGAAAAAGGCCATCAGCAGGCATAAGGTGCTGCCACTGGAGTCCCGTGAACTGTCCACGAAGGCGGCCAAAAACTCCACCTGGGCGGTCCATGGACCACGTGTCATGGACGAAATGGACCCCGGGAACCAGGAAAAGTGAAAGCTTGGCTGGACACGCTGACTGGACACCCTGCTCGCTGTGAGCTTTTTCCAGAGCGGTGTTCAACACCTCATCATTTACAAGGAAATTATAGACTCTTGCATGAAAACCTTGCGCGATGCTTATGCGACCGCAGTGGGAGCTTGCGCAGGGGCTTATCTTCAACATTTGCTTGCGCGAGCTTGCGATGAAATAGGTTTTGCACTTTTTCGTGCGTTTTTGCTTGCGCGGTGTATGCCCGAGCTAGCTGGAACATGGAAGTTCCTCGCAAGCTACATGTGAATGAGACCGTTCTATTCGGACGTTCAAGCGTCTTGAAGTTGGACGGTTTTGGGGCTCATGTTTGGGGACTCCGCAACAACAACCACTCGGGGCGCATGAAACCACGATGCCGGTGGCCACTGTGCCGACCTCCAACGAACCGTCTCGACGGTGCCCCACCCCACCGACACCGACGACGGAAGGAACGACGTCGAAGCCACGATGTGTGGATGCCGAAGCTGATGCAGGACTTGAGCTTCTCGGGCGGCGCTCTCGGCCGCTGCCACCGCGTCGCTGCCGCTTCCGACCACCTGCAGAAATCAGCGGACCAAAGCGGACCAAAGCGGACCAGCATCACAAATCAGCTCCGCTAAGCGGCGAAGAACATGCGACCAGCACACGAGCGTTTCCAGTCCAGTACCACACCCCAAACCACCAAGATACGGCCCAGGTCCCAGCCGTCCATCGTCTCCCACCTCCAAGCGCACACGCTTCAGGACGGACAGCTGTCCGGTCGTCCGGTGCTTGACCAACAAAGCTTCGCCAAAGCTTCCCCGGCCCACCGTGCGCACCTCAGCCGGCGTTCATCCGTTCCGACCAGGGGGTAGGTCGTCTCATTCCGTCCTGCAGTCCACGTGGACTAGCCCCGAAGTTGGACCACCGAAGTCGAAGGCATCGAAGTCTCGATGTTTTTTCACTTCGCCCAAGAGGCTTTCACGTAGTCCGACAGCGAGCCACAAGTGCTCTCGGCCACCTGGGTGCGGTCGCACACGTCTGGGTGTTTCACCAGGTCAGTGATCCTGTTCAAGGGACCATCTACGGGGAAACCCATAGCTTTGGAGGTGACAACCATAGTTTCCTGTATTATCAATTTCCCTTTTAACATCCTTCAACCAATTCCAATTGACCCATGCTGTTCATTCACTCGGTGCTCCACGCGGTGATCCACGCGGTCCACGCACTACGACGGTCCGGTCGACTGACGTGCCATCGAGGCACGTGGCCGCCCGAGCGCCGCTCGCGGGCCGTGGGGTTCACTCGTTTGGAGCCTCGAGCCCTGGCGGCGCGAGCGCACCCGGCCGAAGGCGCCCGAGGAATCGCCGCTCCCCCGTACTAGTGTGACTGTTGCACTCCCCAGTGCCAGTTGGCCCCTTTCATCCTAAACCGACATGCTCTGACACACCAAAACACACACCACGAGCGGTACGAAAGATTCCGCCTCATGGGGCGAGAGAACGCGCCGGGCGGTTGGAAAGGGAGACGTCGTATCTAAAGATATCCAAAGCATCAACTTCCAGTGGCTGGATGGTTTAAGTAAGTTTATGTAATAAATATATCCATTTCGTTGTTTGGAAAATGGCGCTGTCATGCTGTCAGCATCATCTCCCAACGGAGGCATCTCCAAAGTGTTTGAGAGTGGAACGCATTGTCCTGCACTTTTGAATCCTATCTTCCTACATCCGAAAGCTGCGACCGCGTGCGACGTGCTGCAAGGTGCTGCAAAGAATGCTTAAACATGAACACAACATACAAAGTGGTTGTATGTAGAAAAAACGTGCCGTGCATAAGGAAAGCAATGGAACATCTGCCACAAGAGAGCTTCCACACTCTGCAAGCCAAATGTCGAGATTGAACCTTCTTGTATATCCAGTTTGCAGCGTAAAAGCATCGATAGGCACCTGAGCAGGAAGAAACATTGAATTTTCGACTTCCAAAAGAGTGTCGCAAAGAAGCGGCTCGGCTTCAGACCCATCGATAAAACGTAAAAGGTCACCCCAATGTCCTGAGTCACAAAACTGTTACAAAACTGACGAACATGCAGTCGGAAAGCAACCTGGTCAACTCAGCCGGTGAACCAAATTAACCAACTTGATCCTTTCTCATCCTTTCTATAGAAGCAACAGCTTATTACTATCATCACATGTCCCACTCCCAAGCCGAGCCTTTGCCATCCGATCTCTGTAGCAAAAGACGTACTGTGGGACCTGAGCTGAACTGGTTCTTGTGCAGCACTGAAACTCTCAGTATCTCTCAGTCATGACCACAAATTGGTCTGAACTCGACCGGTGATTGGTGAAAAAAACGTCTGCTCTGAGTTCTTCACCATGGCAAAGCCTTCACAGAATTGTGAGAAGGTCCACAAAATATCCACCAGTTGATACCTCGGTCGCGCCAGTCGCGCTGGTCGCGCCACCCGTGTTCCCAGAGGACGGTCTGGCCGACGAAATGGACTGACGGAAGGTCTGGGGCGCACGTCTTGGCCAGAAGAAAGGCACCAAGGAAACAGGGCACCAAAATGACAGCCAAACTGCAGGTATCCTAGCGGTGAACTCGCTCAAAGGGGAAGTTCCTGGTGCTGAACATGACTTGATGTATCATGATGTCACCGGAAATTCCGGCCTTCTGGCGCTCATATGTGGCATCAAGCTTGTAGAAAACAGCCAGGACGATAATGGAGGTCACAATGTACCTCAGGAATGTGAACTAGTGACTGCATCAGTTCGGCTTGCAATCGCAAGCTGTTGCACGTTATCTTGAAGAAGACCAAATAGAATGCTTGTTGCTCGTCCTTAAACGCGCCGAGAAACATCTGAACTTTAGCACGGTTGCTACGCAAACAACGCCGGCGGTCCAGGTAGTGGAAATGAATGTTTGCACTGGGGCGCCCGGCTATCAAATCCAGATACCTTTTTATCCACAATGTGGCTGTCATCACCCGTCACACGAAAGCGACATCGAACGAGCGGAAACTAGACTCTCGAGCCTTGTCACGAAGACCAAGAAATACAAGATCTGTGTGCTTCTTGAGATTCCTTGCGACATGTCCAGTGCGGCAACTCAGATGTTTTTCGTTTCTGCGATTCCAACCACTGTCCTGAGCACGAGCGGTTTTTGGCCAATGTGGCCAGCAACGCAAACACACCTGTCCGTCAGACGTCGGAGATGTGTGTTGCGGTCAGAGATCGCATGATATCACATGATCTCTTCAGACTAGAAGTCGTCAACCAAAGTCGTGTTTTGAAATAAATACATTAAAAACACACACACACATACAACATCCTTCCAAGACATCCTTCCAAGGTTTTGCAGGTCGGGCTCGATGTCCTCAGGTCTTGGAGTTCGAATCCTTTTCTGCTGCCTACGGTGTAGCACCCCCTTTGGGAGACCACACCGTCCATAAAAGTTGAGGCGACACGTCCCGCCAATTCAGGGCTCCGTTTGGAGCACGAATATAGGTTTTTGTATTCCTACGAGGTTATGTTCTGTTTTGCAGGTCAAACCCATCGTGTTTACGTCGTGTCTTGCCGAATGACTCCTGACTCATATGACTCCCGATTCTTTGGTCGATTGTTCCGGCACAGTTTCCGTGGATTCGATGGGAATGTTTGGTGGATTCGGCACGACACGATGGCACCCCGATGGGCAGTGGCAGATCCCTTAAGGGAGCCCACCAAGCAGTGGCGAGTCTAGAGAGACAGCGGTTTACCGCTCTCGCGGAGAAGGAGCGTCCCAGTGTCTTTCTTCGCCCACTGCGTGACATTTTCCTGAGAAGTGAAGCGGTCTGCGGGGGTTGGTCTTCCGAACAAAAGCCTAGGGAGGAGGCAAAGCCACCAAAGCCCTCATCGTGGAGTCGATTGTTAATTGGAAGCTTCAAAGAGCCTTGGTGAAGCTCTACTGCAAACATCTACACATCAGTTGCAGCACGACTTTCTCTGAAAACTCAAACCTCACAAACAGCTTTCCAGGCGATCTGCCGGCTGGTGTAAGAGCTGATAGCGCTTCTGGTGCCTGTTGTTCTGGTGCGCTCACAATAATATGTAGCTACCAACCACGCCCAACAGGCACATGGCACCAGCCTGTTCGATGCTCGAGGCTGGCCTTGGGATGAGTTGGAGGAGTGACGAGCCCCAACGGCTTCCAAAGGAACAGCCTTCCTTTTCGTACACCTCTCACATCCTCTGACTTCCTTTTTACTTGTGATCGCTTCAGTAAATTCCAGGTGTACCGCAATCTGAGGATAAGAATGATCACAAACACAACAGCAGCTGCTGGCTTCAGGTGTGCAGTGGTGCCACAATAGTCGATGTGGCTCTCTGCAAAGTGATGCAACAGAAAGAATCACAGCTGTTCGTCCTTGTACCATCTCCTATCACCAAAACCAATATACTGTATCTGCTACAACTAACACGTCCTTGTCAAGTCCGATGATCTTAGAGCAAGGCGAAGCGTGAACTTTATGATCCAAACTTGCCACAGGTGATTTCTCCTTCGTGCGATGCAAACAAGAAGTCCATGGAAGGCCCCCCCTTGCAGAATTTCACAGACCTTCTGATGATTGAACTCAAGTCATTCAATTCACTCACATTACATGGTACCCCCTCGAAAAAAAGAAAAAAACACACTTTCAGACAAATAGGGGAGGTGGGGGGTACCAACAAATCTGAATCTGCAATGTGCATATGGCGTCTGATCAAAATGCTAAATGAACATCCTCCTACATCTGATCAAATATATATTTAATATAAACTATATACTGGTGGTATAAATTTTTGATTTTTTTGAGCCTGCCAGCATTTTTGCAAAGTGGGGTAGACCAAACATTGCAAAAACACTGGCAGGCTCAAAAAAACAAAAAATCAAAAGGCCATAGTCACAAAACCCTGGCAGGCTCAAAAAAAACAACAAAGAAAAAAAGACAAATTTTTATGTTTTTTTGAGCCTGCCAGCGTTTTTGCAAGGTGGGGTAGACCAAAAATTGAAAAAACAACACTGGCAGGCTCAAAAAAATCAAAAAAATCCAAAGGCACTAGTCACAAAACCCTGGCAGGCTCAAAAAATCACAATTTTTAGGATCTATGGGGGGTCTGGGGGGTGTATAAATGTTTGACTTTTTTGAGCCTGCCAGTGTTTTTGCAAGGTGGGGTATATCAAAAATAGCAAAGTCCTTGGCAGGCTCAAAAAAATCAAAAATTTATGCACCCCCCAAAGCCCCCATAGATGCCAAAGCTTTTGTGTTTTTTTTTTTGAGCCTGCCAGGGTTTTGTGATTATGGGGTGTTGATTCTTTTTTGATTTTTTTTTGAGCCTGCAAGTGTTTTTGCAAGGTGGGGTATATAAAAAAATTGCAAATTCCTCGGCAGGCTCAAAAACATCAAAAATTTATGCACCCCCCAGAGGCCCCATAATGCCAATACTTGGTTTTCTGGAATTATTATGATCTTCTTATTAATGGCAACAGCATTTGTGGGTTATGTCTTACCTTTAGGACAAATGAGTTTATGGGGTGTTACAGTAATTACAAATTTATTATCTCCATTTCCATCTTTTATAGAATGGCTTTGTGGAGGAGATTATGTTTACAATCTTACATTGAAGAGGTTCTTTGTCTTCCATGTTCTATTTCCATTTCTTCTTTGTGGTTTTCTTCTTTATCATATTGTAAATCTACATTTTCTATCGTCTAATAATCCATTAAGTAATTCCACTAATAGTAATATAGTATTTTTCCCTTTCATTATTAGTAAAGATTTCTATGGACAGATATTTATTCTCTATCTATATCTTCTTCAAAGTCATTTCGGTTTCTCTTCTTTCTCACATCCAGATAATGCATTAGAAGCATGTGGATTACTTACTCCTTTACATATAGTACCTGAATGGTATTTCTTATGCCAATATGCTATGTTAAAAGCTGTGCCAAATAAAAATGCAGGATTCATTATATTATTTACTTCTATCTTCATCTTATTTTACTTTATGAGAAGTCTTTCATTCTATTTTATAATATTTTTCACCAATAGATTTAATGGTTTTTATCTGTGCTTTTGGTTTCTTCTTCATTTTTCTTTTATTTGGATAGGTGGTCAATTTCCTGTAGACAACTTTCTATCTTATGGTCGTATCTTGACATTACATTATTTTTATATTCTTATCTGTATCTTATGGATTCATTCTATTATTCATTCTCACCATTAAACATATATCTTATTCACTTATTCTCCCTTAAATTTAATGGTGATCATTCATGTGTTTCATTCCTTTATATTTCATGATTTTCATGATGCCTTTCTTTTATTCAATTATGAAAGGCAGGTTATCGGCTAGGCTTCTACATCTTAATATTTGGCTTAGAATTTTATAGAGAAGTCATTTATTATAAAGAAAATTCTAAGCCTATTTATCTATATCTTATGCACCATTATTTTAAAGGGCCACGAATAATAAAATAATGGTGCATGATCCATAAAATATAAAGAACTAGCCATTGACCGTCCATTTAATATAAAGAAAAATGGTCTCATTGAGTGAATGATCCTGTATTTCTGTATTTTAATGGAGAATAAAATAAAGGGAATGAACGAATAATGAAAGATATGGCAGTTAATGGATTCTACGGATAACCGTCTATTACAAAGAATTATTGACCCTTAACTGCCAAGGAACAAATCATCCAAGAAGCCATGGTATTTTCTAGAACTATAAAGATAGAATGCCCACCATTTATTTATTTTTATTTGGTGGTTCTTGCATGATGCCCATGAATTTTATATCGTTTCATTCTTTAAATCTATTTCTTTTAATCTATTTCTTTTAATCTATAATCATGAGGGCATTATTCTATTTAAATATTAATGCCCGGTCAATTGCTAGGCTACTATTTTATTATTATTGGTTGACCATTAATTTATTGACGGCAGCCTTTTTGTTTGGTAATGAAGAATGCTTGTGGAGGAAATTAATGGTCAACATATTTAATGGCTTTTATATTTAACATGATAAAACTTCTATAATATAAAAGCCATCCAACATAGAAATATATGCTAGCCGATAGCCCCACCAATTAATATAGATTAAAATTGGTGGTCAAGAGTTGTTTAAAATTAAATTGTACTTCCTTGCGGCCAAAAATAAATGAATGTGGACGGGATGGACCACCTACAGAAAAGACAACTCTCACATACAAGCAAGAAATTTGTCTGAAAACGTTGTTTTTTCTTTTTTGGGGGGTAGCATATATATATATACTCTCTCCAGAACTTACGAGGAAGTAGTTTTCCTATAATATTCCGCGTTTAGCATTTTACTGTAGGGTCTGCATGTTATATTTTTGTGTTGGGTAAGACTTCTTCCTCGTAAGTTTGACATGCTAAACTTGCTAGACTTGCTCGACTTCCTCGTTTGTCAGTGCAAAAACTAGAATGTCCAGAAGCATCTAGCAAACAATGAAGCCTACCAGTTTTTTGTGATAATTTGGTAAACTTCCTCGTTAAACGGGATCAAGAGAGAGAGGTTGTTTAAATTCCTCGTTAGATTAGCTCCCAACCTATGAAAATCTAAAGCAACCCTGGCTTACCTGGAAGTGTATCTCCCTGGTAATTTTCCACGGATCCCCGAGGATGCAGGGGCGCTCGGCTTCCTCGGTAGTGAGCATTGCATTTTTTAGCCTTCCTCGTTTGCTGATTGGGCTTACCTGTCTGTGGTCTGTTCCCGGGGGGGATTTTACATGGTCACCAACTTCCTCGTAAACAGCGTCCTCGCCTGGATTTACTTCCTCGTAAGTTCTGGGGGTGTATATTATGTTATTTTATACTATACATACACGAACACACACCACATCAACATTTGGTGTTTTTCGATCTTTCTAGCTTTTCCAAGTCGCCACGCGACAGACCCTCCCGAAGCGGAGGCCCTTGGTCCAGGGCCAATCTCTGGGCCCACCGCAGAGGTCACAACATGTTTTTGGACATCGTCAATTCCCATGGTAAATCCCACGGTCAATTCCCATGATCTGTGCTGCGTTTTTTGTTCTCCAAAACCTCTGCTTCCATCAGATTGCATTTCTATTTGGAACGGAATGTTGCAAATGAGACAGTATACTGATTGTTACTATTGGAGCCAGTGCAAAAGCACAGCCTGGACATCTTCAAAGCAAGAGTGTGTTGAACCCTTTGAGCTATACATTGGATGCGAACATCCACATCGCCTCAACATCCTTTTGGGTCACAAAAGCACCAACGGCTCTGGTGCTTCAAGCTCCGTTCTTCCGCTCCGATCCATCTCCTCCAGAGCGTGGTCCGGATGCGCGGTCAAGCCAAAGCTGGGCTTCCTCCGGCGTGTTGCGGTGCAGCTGGGCTTCCTCCGTTCACATCAAATGGAAGAGAGGAACAACCAATTCTGGGAACACCCACGGAAGACCCACTAGGAAGAGAGGAAGACCCCTTGTGCAGTTGTCATCAGTTGACATGAAAAAAACAACAAGCAATTCTGGGCTTCACGAAAACTGAGAGCTCAACTTGGAGGGGTCTCCCTCTGTCCAAACAATACCACTCATGACCCGTCACACCCACAAAAAGGCCTTTCTACGAGCGGCGGCGGGTTCTTCGTGTTCGTTCCCACCCGCGGAGCGTCCGCGAGTTCGGCTCGCCTCCGATGTCGAGGAGAGCCTCTCGGTGGATTTCGGCAGCTGATTTGGGGGTCAATCTCAAGCTGCGCAGGCTCTCTCTCCGACGAACACACGGTTCCGTGGGGGCCAGCATGGGCTTCAAAAACACATTGAAGCACTAAGATCTATATATCTGAACATGTCTGACTGTCTGAACTATCTATATGAGCTCTTTCAATGACGGATTATTCTTCTCAAGAAGTCCGTGAAGTCCCGAAGGCTACATCATTCTGCATCCGATGAGCCCATCACCGTCGATCCGGAGGAAAAGCAGCTGGAGCAGAGTTGGAGGAAACACATGGAAAAGCACTTGGAAAAAGGTCCCTGGTGTTATGCCCTTGAAGATCCTTTAAGGAACCACACCCCACACGCTTGTCGCGTAGCAGGCTACAGCAGGCTGCTTTCAAACCCTCCTGGCCTTGGAAGGTGCTGGCCTAGGTCAATTATCTGGAATGACGTACTGCATTCCGAAAGGTCAAGCTGTCTACACTTACACTTGGAACAAACCCATGTTCCTTGGAATCTGGCCGGGGATGCAAATCCAGCCATTGTCATGCACTCCTCACAAAGCACTGCGAAACGAGCCTTTAAATGCCGTGAGAAAATCCTATGCCACACAATGTTTTGTTTTTGGACCCACGAGTGGGCTTGAAGTGTGAGCAATCACATCGTGCTGTCCACGACCCAAAGCGCATGTTCACGAAGCTCCATATGAAGCTTTCGGACCTGCCGCTGCAAGACGTGGGATAACCCCCCACGTCTGGTGCGCCCTGCAAACAGCGAGAACAAACAAATACAAACAGCCCAACTCGCCTGACACATGAGGGTGGTGAGATCAATGGCCTGCCCAAAGACCCCTTCGCTCGATTTTCTCGACATCAAGACATCCACCGCGGACAAACTGTCGCGCGGGAAAGCGCGCCACGTGTGGATTTTCTCCCTGAGGCTGGGACCTTGGCAGGACCATGAATCCGACAGCATCCAGCAATGAACTCCTCCACATCGATGTAGCCTCCGACGAAAAGTACAAAGAACGAGCGAGAAGGAACTCGTTGGGTTGACATGGGTTGACTGGATTTACAGCGGGCAACGGTGATGTGCTTGCGCTTTTAGAGTCTTAGAGTGCTTCGCACGCCTGTGGTTGGTTTTGGTTGGCCAGCCAAAAAGCCAGGACACGAAACTAGGTCCACGGCGGATAGACGGCCGTGGGGTAATGAAGGATGGTCGTGGGTTAATCAATCTTAAATATGCGTAATTCCATTAGGAACGATGTGAGCGACAATTCATCATTGGAATCATGGTGCCTTCCATGCAGATTCCGATAAAATCAGAGTTTCGCTGAGGCGAAGTGGCGACTTCCAAGCATTTTCGAAACTACGCAACTACTTTTGTGCGACTTTCACTCTTCACAGGAGCTGCTCCAAGCGGTGGGAGTCATATACACGAATGATAATGTGTCCTTTGATATCTGATAGAACGACTTGGAGTGATGGCTTGGTCAAACCCCACAAGCTCTTTGGAGTGATAGATAATGTTCCCACACTGCTAGCCACAAGCCCCACAAAAATTCTGAGTAGTCCGTCAAACCCTGAAAATCCAAACACCAACGGTCCTGGTCCAAAACTATTTCGAGGGTCAAACCAACCAAAGAATCCCCACCACGAACTTTACTCCAAACCAAAGTCAAGTCGTCCAGATAACCTGGGTGAACACGAAACCAAGGTCGAAGAACCAGGGGTACCTCGTCCACGTCCACAAAACCCCCCATGCGCAACAAAAGAATCAACGAAACGCACCAAGAAAAAGAAACAAAGGTTGCGGCATCTCTGAACTCAGCAAAAAAGGATGCAGTGTCTAACCGAACGTAACCCGCAAGAAAATAAACTGGAGTAGATAGCATGCTACGCCGCAGGTGTGCTAATTAGCCGCACCCCCACCCCCCCCAAAAAAGAGTCCCACACGTAGTACTGTAGAAAACAAAATATCAAAAAAATGTAAGAAAAGCCCACGGCCGTCTATCCGCCGTGGGCCAACTACTCATGTTGAGAGCTTTGCTGGGAAGGTGGGGTGCGCTGGTTGAGGCAACTCATCCGATCGCAAGGATGGCTGAATTTAAAAGCCCAGTCTTTCAAGGTTTCGGATGGTTTCGGAAAGGAATCTGTTGGTCGCAGCTCAGTGGCGTGTTTGCTATGTGAGGCTTGATGGCAAACAGGGAAGGCATGGAAGAACACGGAGGGCTCCAAGACCGAATTTCAGGCTCCAAGAGCTCACAGACACCTCCAAAAAACACCGGGTTCGATCAGTCGCTACCTTGATCATCGATGTCCAACAGCAGGAAGAGACCTTGGCAAACATGTAACATGACTGTCAGTCCCTCGGGAAAGGGACTGACGAAGCTCTCATGACGTCGTGAAGCAGCTTGGTTTTCGATCGCGGCCATGGCCGCTTTGGGCCAGTGCTGTACACGCAGATCAACCAATCCAGCCACCAACTCGCTGTGGTCTTCCGCCAACCAAACGGTTTACTCCTCAAACATGCCCTTTGGCACTGCTGATACGATGGTTCCTGTTGGAGCATCAAGTGCAGCCTCAACAAATTCAATGACCGTGTCCCACACGTCCATATTGAATTCATGCCCAAGCTCTCGAAACGGGCTGCAGGTGACCTAGGCTGCGCAGTGGCTTTCGACTGCCGACGGTATCAGCAGTCTTCCGAGTCTTCCCCCGTTCCGTTGGTGATAATTGATCATCAATCCCTGAAGCACCCCTTCTCTTTGACCCAGTCGTCTACTGCAAATGAACCAGATGAACCATTGCACTTTCTCCATGAACCACTCTCTTTCCACAGTTGTTTTTCTTTCAGCCATCCCTGCTCTACACTGAGCTGGGCACCTGGTCCAACAAGAAAGTTGTTTGAAACTATCTCTGAGTTTTGGCATAATTCACACGCACACACAAACAAATCCTGAGGCAAAGCACTCGCCCTGTTCACGAGGGAATTCGTTTAGACATGTTGGTCGATTTCAAACACTCTGTCCATTGAGCCATGCTTCTCCTCGATAGCCATAAGTCTCTAAGCTACGCCACTGATGCCTTGCGGCATCGATAGGCACCACTTTGTCCTGCCATCTGGTGCATCTGAATTGTGGAGAAACTCCCTACAAAGGCCGAGTAGTTAACGAACAAGCACGGAGGAGCAGAAGAAACAGTAGAGTATGTGTATATATATATATATGATTTTGTATTATTACATTATGAAAACATATGAAAACTGCTGGGTTTGTTTTTTCTTGCACTCCCAGTTTGAGCTGCAGGAGGTTCTTTGATCCTCGACTCCATGCGTGAGGAGGATGAGGCTGTCCGTTCCAGGTTCTGCCTAGGGCGTTGAAGATCGAAGCAAACTGAAAAAAGCAGACTGATCAAGTGAATCCTGATGAATCCTGATGCCACTGTGTGCATTGCTTGAAGAAACCTGTCAAACTCCACACAAGCCACAAAGGAGTTTCCTCCGGGTCAAGTGACTTGTTGCTCGGGAAAGCCATCGGCAAGGAAAGCAGAACAGGACCTAGAATACCAAGCGAACAAGAGACGTGCGAAACTGCTTCACAAGGCCTGAAATCCGACTCATTTCTTTCCTCCGTCCACATGGGAGGCCCAGACATGCTTTTTCTAAGACGCTGTTCGTCTGGCCCGGTCTGGTTCTTCTTCCGAAGCTTTTGAAGACTGAGCCCATGGTGCAACCATAACCATAACCCTTGCATCCAAGGAACACGATGCCTGCCAACTGTGGATAGAGAAGCCCCAAGAGGGCAGCAGTGCCACCCGCACCGAAACCACCAAGCACTGTCGAGGACAAACGCCAGGTATCACCCACCTACCAGCCACTTCTTCATTCAAGACGGCAAAAGAAGAGGTGGTGGTGTCTGCAGAAATGTCCCGTTGCCGATTCAGCTGGCCAAGTTCCCACAGTTCCCAAGCCACCTTCTTCAACTGTTCGGTGATTTCCTGCAGCAAAAGCCTTCCCAGGCTTTCTCCCTGCGCGGAGGCGCGCAGGTTCCTTTTAGCTGGTGGAATGAAGGAATGCGTCCGCAGAAATGGCATCTGAACATTCATCCAGTGCGTGGAGACCTGCCTCTGGCACTTGTGGCAAGCCTCGTAGAACCAGTTGCACTCCAGGCAAGGACTTATGAAGCCTGCAACGACATAGCGATGCTGAGTCCGACTCCCGGAGCCCTTTTTACACATATATATCCGCCGACCCCGGCTGAAGAAAGGGGGAGCGCGCCAGGGATTACAGGTGTGGGAGGGTTCACCATGGATGCCGGTGCCTGTGAATCTCTTGTGGCAAGGTCTGTGCCGGTGCTCAGGTTCACAGGGTACGGATGGGCCAGAA